ATCCTCATATTCATCATCGTCATCATCCTCATCATCATCCTCATCAACATCCTCATCATCCTCCTCCTCGTGACCATCCTCATCATCATCCTCATCATCATACTCATCATCATCATCCTCATCATCCTCCTCATCATCCTCATCATCATCCTCATCATCATGCTCATCATCATCCTCATCATCATCCTCATCATCATTTTCCTCATCATCATCCTCATCATCATCCTCATCATCATCCTCATCATCATCCTCTTCATCCTCATCATCATCCGCCTCACCATCCTCATCATCATGCTCATCAACATTCCCATCATTATCCACATCATCGTCCTCATCATCATCCTCATCATCATGCTCATCGTCATCCTCATCATCATCCTCATCATCGTCCTCATCAGCATCCTAATCATCATCCTCATCATCATCCCCATCGTCATTCTCATCATCATCTTCATCAACATCCTCATCATCATCCTCAACAACATCCTCACCATCATCCTCATCCACATCATCATCCTCATCATGATTCTCATCATCGTCCTCATTATCATCCAGATCATTATCCTCCTCCTCCTCATCGTCATCATTCTCATCACCATCCTCATCATCGTCCCCATCATCATAGTCATCATCCTCCTCCTACTCATCATCATCATCGTCCTCTTCATAAACCTCATCATCATCCTCATCATCATCCTCATCATCGTTCTCATCATCATCCTCATTATAATCCAGATCATTATCCTCATCATCATTATCATCATCATCCTCATCGTCATGCTCATCATCGTCCTCATCCTCATCGTCCTCATCATCCTCCTCCTCAACATCATCAACATCGTCCTCTTCATCATCCTCATCATCATCCTCATCATCATTCTCATCATCATCCTCATCATCATCCTCATTATCATCCAGATCATTATCCTCATCATCATCATCATCATCATCATCCTCATCATCATCCTCATCATCATCCTCAACATCATCCTCATCATCATCCTCATCATCATCGTCATCATCAGCCTCGTCATCATCCTCATCATCATCCTCATCATCATCCTAATCGTCATCCTCATCAGCATCCTCAACATCATCCTCATCATCATCCTCTACATCATCCTCATCATCATCCTCATCATCATCCACATCATCATCCTCAACATCATCCTCATCATCATCCACATCATCATCCTCATCATTCTTCTCATCTTCATCCTCATCATCACCCTCATCATCATCCTCATCATCATCCACATCATCATCCTCAACATCATCATCATCATCATCTTCATCAATATACTGGTAACATCCTCATCATCATCAGCTTCCTCATTATCATCATCATCCTCGTCTTCATCCTCATCATCATCCTCCTCATCATCCTCATCATCATCTTCCGCATCATCCTCATCATCATCCTCATGATCGTCATCATCATCATCCTCATCATCATTTTCATCATCATCCTCATCATCATCCCCATGATCAAGCTCATCATCATCTTCAACGTCATCCTCAACATCATCCTCATTATTATGTGCATCATCATCTTCATCAGCATCGTCATCTTCATCATCATCCTCTTCATCATCCTCATCATCATCCTCCTCTTCATCCTCATCATCATCCTAAATATACCCATCATCTTCATCATCATAACATCATCATACTCGTCATCATCCTCATCATCATCCTCATCATCATCCTCATCATCATCCTCATCATCATCGTCATCATCATCACCATCATCATAATCCTCATCATCATTCTCATCCACATCATCATCATCATCCTCAGCATCATCCTCATCATCATCCTCATATTCAACATCGTCATCATACTCATCATCCTCATCATCATCCTCATCATCACTATCATCCTCATCCTCATCATCATCCTAATCAGCATCCTCATCGACATCCTCATCATCATCCTCATCATCATCCTCATCATCATCCTCATCGTCAAACTCATCATCATCCTCATCAGCATCCCCTTCATAATCCTCATCATCATCCTCTTAATCATGCTCATCATCATCCTCACCATCATCCTCATCATCGTCCACTTCATCATCATCATCATCATCCTCATCATCATCCTCATCATTATCCTCATCATCATCATCATCATCATCATCATTATCATCATCATCATCGGAATCATCATTAACATCATCATCAGCATCAGGATAATCATCATCATCATTATCATCATGTTCCGAAATAATATCTTCATCATCGTCCTCATCAACATCCTCCTCATCATCATCATCATATCATCATCATGCTCATCATCATCCTCATACTCATCATCATCACGTTCCTCATCATCATCCTCATCATTATCCTCATCATCGTCCTCATCATCATGCTCATCAAAATACTCGTCATCATCCTCATCATCATCCTCAACATCGTCCTCATCATCATCCTCAACATCATCCTCAACATCATCCTCATCGTCATCCTCATCATCACCCTCATCATCATCCTCATCATGATCCACATCATCATCCTGAACATCATCATCATCATCTTCGTCGTTAACCTGGTCATCATCCTCAGCATCATCTGCATCATCATCATCATCATCATGCTCACCATCATCAGCATCCTCATCATCATCCTCATCATCATGCTCATCATCATCATCCTCATTATCCTCATCATCATCCTCATCATCANTGAACATCATCATCATCATCATCTTCATCGTTATCCTGGTCATCATCCTCATCATCATCTGCATCATCATCTTCGTCATCATGCTAACCATCATCAGCATCCTCATCATCATCCTCATCATCATGCTCATCATCATCATCCTCATTATCCTCATCATCATCCTCATCATCACTATCATCCTCATCATGATCCTCAACATCATGATCCTCATCATCATCCTCATCATCACTATCATCCTCATCAGCATCCCCGTCATAATCCTCATCATCATCCTCATAATCATGCTCATCATCATCCCCACCATCATCCTCATCATCGTCCTCATCATCATCAACATCATCATCGTCCTCTTCATCATCCTCATCATCATCCTTATCATCATCCTCATCATTATCCTCATCATCATCATCATCATCCAGAACATTATCCTCATCATTATCCTCATCATCATCCTCATCATCATCCTCATCATCATCCACATCATCACTATCATATCATCATCATCCTCATCATCATCCTCAACATCAGCCTCATCATCATCCTCATCATCCTCATCATCATGCTCATCATCACTGTCATCCTCATTATCATCCTCATCATTATCCTCATATTCATCATCGTCCTCCTCATCATCATCCTCATCATCGTCCTCATCATCATACTGATCATCATCATCCTCATCATCCTCATCATCATCCTTATCATGATCCTCATCATCATGGTCATCATCATCCTCTTCATCATCCTCATCATCATCCTCGTCATCATCCTCATCCTCATCATTATCCTCAACATCATCCTCATCATCATCCCCATCATCATCCTCATCATCATCCTCATCATTATCCCCATCGTTATCCTCATCATCATCCTCATCATCATTCTCATCATCATCCTCATCATCATCCTCATCCTCATCCTCATCATCATCCACAACATAATGCTCAACATCATACTCATCATCATCCTCTTCATCATCCTCATCATCAGCCTGATCGTCATCCTCATCATCATCGTCATCAGCAACCTCATCGTCATCCTCATCATCACACTCATCATCATCCTCATCATCATCCAAATCATCATCCTCAACATCAACCTCATCATCATCTTCATCGTTTTCCTGGTCATCATTCTCATCATCATCCTCATCATCATCCTAGTCATCATCCGCATCATCATACTCATCATCATCCTCATCACCATTTTCATCATCATGCTCATCATCATCCTCATACTCATCATCATCAACTTCCTCATCATCATCCTCATCATTATCCTCATCATCATCCTCATCATCAGGCTCATCAAAATCATCGTCATCATCCTCATCATCATCCTCATCATCATCCTCATCATCATCATCATCATCATCTTCATCATCATCCTCATCGTCATCCTCATCATCAACCTCATCATCATCCTCATCATCATCCACATCATCATCCTCAACATCATCATCATCATCATCTTCATTGTTATCCTGGTCATCATCCTCATCATCATTCTCATCATCATCATCCTCGTCATCATCCTCATCATCATGC